ATGCTGAAGTCACACACAGACTTAAACATTCAGCACGTGAACCACAACAATGGTAACAATTCAATTTAATTTATTTTCATTACTTGTAACAATAGCCATTTTATTTGCTCTTTTTGTTGTACTGCTACTGACACAAGACAGCAAATAAAATTGTCAAATAAAATCAACAAATATAAAACAAAGCAACTGTATAATTTATTCATACCACAATGCACTCTGGGAGTCAGTGAGTAGCTATACTAAGTCATGAGTAAACCTAAATGAAAGGATCAAGTACCCCCTACAATTCTTTTTTAGTTACTAGAACTCTTGTGCAAGTAAACTATACTAACTAAGCATCTGTCAGTACAACATACTATTGCTATTTCACTTTACTTAGTTTTTTCAAGGCAATCGGTTTGCATGCTTTTTTAAGTAAGCCCAACTAATTAGATTTTACAGTGTACCAAATCTATATGGGCCAGAAGTTCTACATTACGAATTGTGTGTTAGTTTGTAAACTCATTCTTGTTTATATTGTTGTGTTTAATTTAAAGTTACAATTTACTTTTGAAACATTTATTTTTTTTAGCCCTTAATTAGCCTTTTATTTCCTTTTCATTAGTGTGAACAAAACTGCACAGGAAGTTTGACTCACTTTCACGATCACACTAACATCCTGAGACTCTCTGCTTGATTTGTTTGGACTAAACGAGAGTGAGATTATCAAAGGAAGTGATTACATTAGAATCATCCCCAAGCCCAAAATCACACAGACAATTAAAACAGGGCTGTCAATTACCATTATGCAAGTCTGCGTCACTCTAATTAAGCTGTCTTCTAATTGTTCATCACACTCTTAATCACCAGAGTCGCAATAAACACCCTCATTGCTATCAGCGGAGTTGTTACTTAAGACAATCTACACTTCTCAGGACTACAGGTGCCTGGTCAAGTTAATTTCATCCAAATATAGCTCCATTATCCTGATGTGACAACAAAGTATTGCTAATGCCGCTCAGGAGTCATCGGCAACATGTCTTGACATGTTTTGTTGAAGAGGTTTGACTGATGACTCTGTCAATACGACATGACACCGTGCAAGCAGGAGGGTGGCCGAGCTCCAGGAAGTGGTATTACATCAGGCCTTGTTTCATGACAGCTGGTCAATCAAGAATGACTGAGCGCATGCAAACAGGAATCACTCCTGCATCTCTGTATCGACGATGCATTAAGTATGTCTGTGGGAAGTAACTTTGTCATGGTTTAAGAGGGCTTACGATATCATAAACTGACAGTTGTTGCACCGCGAGACGATGGGGGCTGTGTTTGTGCCTGTAGCATGTGCGCTCCAGGTGCTGAAAATAGCATGAAAAAAAAGAAGATTAATAGGCTGAAGAGCCTGTAAATCTGTAAAACCCTCCAGAGTGGAAGCAAACTTACTCTCCACTGAATCATGAAATGCAGTTTCTGGTAGAGGTAGGTAGAGGTAGAGGTAGAGGTAGAGGTAGAGAGAGAGAGTGTGAGAGAGAGAGAGAGAAAGAGAGAGAGAGAGAGAGAGACAGGGTCACATCACAGTGGAGTCAGCTGTCTTAACCGTGGCTTGTGTACCGCAAACACATACCAGCTTCATCACTGTGTCTGTCACGAGACTCTGTTCCCCTTTCAGGCTTGAACTGATGGTAAAACTAATGACATTATTTACTGTCTTTACATTTATTTTGAA